TGGGAATAAGGCATGTGGAGAAGCTGCTTTCACTCTTCTGGGTGGCCAGGGCCTTCTATGTGATGAAATGGCTAGGACTCTAGTGACCTGGGTGAATGCCACACCCACTGCAGCACCCCATAACCTTAGAGAATCCATTACTCTCCAGAAGAATCGAATCAAATGGCTGTTAGCCTAACAGCAAATATCCAGGGGAAAACTGAAATTATTAATCAATCATCAGTATATTTTAAGTAAAAACAAAAACAAAAACAAAAAATAACCCCAATAGCTCAATTATTCACTTAAATTTTCAGTCACGAAATATATTTAAAATCACATTAGACTATCCACTATTTTTGTGAAAAGGAATTTATATGAAAGTCATCTATTAAATATAAAAAAAGTCCAACTTGAAACTAAATAACTGAGTAACCGAATAAGTAATCTAATTAAAACATATATAGGTTGCATCAACATGCCTATTACTCAGCTAACACTAGTCTTGGTTTCTTAACTAACAGTATAGAAAAGTCAAATTCCACAATGGTATTTTATACATTTTTACTTAACAATTCATGTAACATTGAATGGAAGAGCCAAGGCTTAATAAAAATCCAAGAATCCTTTCTACAAACTAAATTACTATAAACTCTAGTGAGTGCATGTTGTCTGTAAATGAATTTTAAAGTATTCAAGAGATAAAACAGAAACAGCCCTGACAAAGACCTTCAAATGTTCGTGGTGTGTATATATAAGCATTTATGTATAAACACACATCATCATATATATACAAATATACAGATAGGGTTACATTCTGATGAACCCACCAATGGTAAATTGAAAATGCCATAAGTTGAAACAACAATATTTTCAATTTACAGTGAGCTTATCAGGACGTAACCCCCTTGTAAGTTGAGGAGTGTACCAAAGTACATCACTTTCACACCATCATAATGCTGAAAAATCTTAAGTTGAACCATGGTAAGCTAAGGATCATCTGTATGTATAAACACACTGAGAACCATCATCAAACTGTTCATTAAACATAACCAATTCTGTTTAGAGAATGAGGACAAACAATTACACACCACAACAAAGTATATACATCTCAGCATTTGGCTTAGTGCAGGGGTTCACAAACATTTTTCCATTATGAAACATAAGGTAGATGTCACATGCCATATGTAAAACAGTCTTGTGGGTGTAGCAGATTCTGATGACTTACACTGCTCACGATCCCCAGATTTATATAAGAAAAAACTGCTGCCTTGCCAGCTTGGTACTTTACTGCCACCTCTTTTGCATCAACTCTAGAAAATATATGAGAATGCAAGTGCATGGGGATGTCACTATGCCATTTATTTATAATAATAAATCAATGATAATTTATTTTAAAGACAAATTATTGGCAATTTCCATATTTATACAATTAACCAATAAAAAGTCACTGGCAGTATCCTTGTAACTGCTCATGACACACTGGCATGTTCCTAGCTGAGAACAAGGATGAGAAAACCACAGTTCACAAGCCAAACTCAGTCTGTTTCCTGTGTATGGCGTAGAAGCTAAGAATAGTCTTCGCTTTTTTTTGGAATCAGGGTCTCATTCTGCCACCAAGGTTGTAGGGCAGTAGCACCATCATGACTCACTACAGCCTTGACCTCCTGGGCTCACATGATCTTTCCACCTCAGCCTCCTGAGTAGCTGAGACTACAGGTGCAGCCACCATACCCAGCTAATTTTTAAATTTTTTTTTTTTTGGTAAAGATGCGGTCTTGCCGGGCTCGGTGGCTCAGCCTGTAATCCCGCGCTTGGGAGGCTGAGGTGAGTGAATTGCCTGAGCCCATGAGTTCAAGACCCGCCTGGGCAACTTGGCGAGACCTCATCTCTACAATAAGTCAAAAAATTAGCCAGGCGTGGTAGCTCGTGCCTGTATTTCCAACTACTTGGAAGGCTGATGCGGAAGGATTGCCAGAGCCCACAGCAGGTCGAGGCTGCAGTGATCGGGAGCAGCCACTGCACTCCAGTCTGTACGACAGAGTGAGACTCCAACTCAAAAAAAAAAAAAAAAAAAAACAAGGTCAGCTGGGCTCGGTGGCTCAGCCTGTAATCCCACGCCTTTGGGAGGCTGAGGTGAGTGGATTGACTGAGCCCGTGGGTTCGAGACCTGCCTGGGCAGCGAGACCTCATCTCTACAATAAATCAAAAAATCAGCCGGGCGTGGTGGCACATGCCTGTAGTTCCAGCTACTTGGAAGGCTAAGGCGGAAGGATCAACGGAGTCCAGCAGGTCGAGGCTGCAGTGGCCGGCAGAGACCACTGCACTCCAATCTGGGCAACAGAGTGAGACTCCAACTCAAAAAAAAAAAAAGATGCGGTTTTGCTATGTTGCCAGGGCTGGTCTCGAACTCCCAGGCTCAAGCAATCCTCCCACCTCAGCCTACCAAGATGTTGGTATTACATGCATGAGCTACTGCACCTGACCAGGTCTTTCCTTTTTTTTTTTTTAAAGCAGGATTTATTAAGAGGACAGAAAAGATCCCACAGTGGGAGGGGACCTGAGGGGTTTTTTTTGTTGTTTGTTTGTTTTGGTTTCACTCTGTCGCCCAGTCTGGAGAACAGTGACACGCTCAGAGATACCACAGCCTCAGTCTGCTGGGCTCAGGCAATCCTTCCACCTCAGCCTTCCAAGTTGCTGGAACTACAGGCACGTGCCAACATACCTGCTAATCTTTTTATTTATTGTAGAGACGAGGTCTCACCAAGTTGCCTAGGCTGGTCTCGAAACCCTGGGGTCAGGCAATTCTCTCACTTCTGCCTCCCAAAGTGCTGGGATTACAGGCATGAGTCACGGCACCCAGCTAGTCTTTACTTTTTAAAATGGCTTTAAAAAAAAGTCAAAAGGGAGCCGGGCTTAGTGGCTCAGTTTGTAATCTCGCGCCTTGGGAGGCTGAGGTGAGTGGATTGTCTGAGCCAGCGGGTTTGAGACCCGCCTGGGCAGCGAGACCTCATCTCTACAATAAATCAAAAAATCAGCCGGCCGTGGTAGTGCACGCCTGTAGTTCCAGCTACTTCAAAGGCTGAGGTGGAAGGATCGCTGGAGCCCAGCGGGCCGAGGCTGCGGTGGCCGGGAGCAGCCACTGCACTCCAGTCTGGGCGACAGAGTGAGACTCCAACTCAAAAAAAAAAAAAAGTCAAAAGGGAATATGCGTGACACATGAAAATTATATGAAATTCAAATTTTAGTGCAATTAAGTTTTATTGTAATACAGCTATGCTCTTTCATTTATGTATTGAATGGCAGAGTGGAAAATCTAAAATAGAGATTGAAACACCTAAAATATTTACTCTCTGGCCCTTTTAGGGGAAATTTGCTAACCCATTGGCTCTAGCTAAGAATGACACACAACCTCAGTGGTCACATCTCTTAAGTACAAAATCCTGAATATAGACAGTAGATTTAATTACAGAAATTGTAGTAAATACTATCTGGGATGGAAATTCATTCCTAAACTGTCCAAACTTTCTGATTTATTTAATGACAAAAGCCAATTTAAAATAATAAAATATAGCTTCTGCATTTTGTCTGAAATCATGTTTATAAATTTACCTTTGAGACTACAGTGGAGTAATAAAAGGGCATGTGAGTTCACTTTCAAATTTTTAAATTGTTAAAAATGTACTTAAAGGCCAGACTTGGTGGTGGCTCACGCCTGTAATCCCAGTGCTCTGGGATGCCAAGATGGGAGGACAGCTTGAGGTCAGGCATTCAAGACCTGGGCAACATAGCAAGATCCTGTCTCTACAAAAAGAAAAAAAAAATTAGTCGAGCATGGTGGTGTGCACCTATAATCTCAGCAACTCAGGAGGCGGAGGTGGGAGGCTTGCTTGAGCCCAGGAGTTCGAGGTTGCAGTGAGTTATGACTTGTGCCATTGCACTTCAGCCTGGGTGACTGAGATCTTGTCTCAGGAGGAAAAAAATGTATTTAAGTCTTGTCCAACCTATGTATTATTATTTTTTAAAAAAACCTATTAAAATCACTAAAATGACTAGTAAAATAATCAAACAAGAAGAACAGAAAGTTGATATAAAGTAAAAAAGTGCTCTCTTCCCCAAATATAACTATAAAAAGTCCTCCAATTAATTGTAAATTACCAAAGGGGGACAAAAGCATAATTGTGGAAAACTGGTAATCAAAATTGAAACAATTTGTGAATAAATTAGCTTGATTTGAAATATAATGGTGAGCCTGAGAGTTTGTGACTGCAGCTATGATGGTGCCCTGCACTCTAGCCTGGGCAATACAGTGAGACCTCATCTCTAAAAAAAAAAACTAAGCCAAGCTTGTTGCCACATGCCTGTAGTCCCAGCTACTCAAGAAGCTGAGGTGGGAGGATTGCTTGAGCCCAGGAATTCGCGGCTGCAGTGAGGTATGACAGTACCACCACACACAGCCTGGGTGAAAGAGCAAGATCTTGTCTCAAAAAAAAAAAAAAAAAAAAAAAAAGAAATGCAAGCAGAAGGAAACTCCAATTATGTATTCCTTCCCTGCCTGCTGTTAGTTAAACTCTCTCTTTTGTTTTAACCCATTTATAGCTCAAATATTATACACATAAGAATGAAATATAAAAATATTAGCTTTCTTATTTACAAGGTGGGTGCCAGCAAACTCAGTATCTTCACTACTAAACAACCACGATAGCTGGGAAGAGGATACACAGGCAGTGCTTAGCCGTGACCAGAGGGGCTTAGTGAAGAGACTGTGGTAATTGAGTGGAGCCAAGAACTTGAACAAGAGGACCTGAGTTTGAATCCTACCCAGTTCCACTGCTCGCTTGATGTCATTTAATCTCTCCCCATCTGCAATAGGGAGTATTTCTCCTATATCCCTTGGAAGCATTTGTTAAATGTGCTTGTTGATGTTTTCTTTATTTTGATTCAGTTCTGGAAGAATCAGAAAGCTCTCCCCACAGGCGGACTTTCACCTCTGACGTGATTCTCAAGGATAGCATTAGAAATCACAATCTCCAGTATTGTTTAATCACAAAATCAACAAAATTGAAGCCAGCTTTAAAGCAACAGGGGCAAGCCAGAGAAATCTAGAACACCACAATGCAAACGCCTCAGCAACCTAACTATACCCACAGACTTCTCTGCTGTAAATGGGCCATAGCACAGGCATTTGGAACAAAGGAGCTTTGGGGCTCCTTTTAAAAAAGGAAAAGCATCATGTCAAGGCATTACTACAAATTATACTGACTGTCGGTTCAATGTACAAGTATGAAAATCTTAAATAGATACTCTAAGTGAATTCACTTTATTAGTTATTTTTCCATTTTCTAATTTAAAAAAACCCACCTCATTAAAAAAAAGTTTTACTTCAAATCTTTACAATCTTCAAAAATGTTGGCTTATTATTAAAATGTATTAAACGTTTACTAAGATGTTTTATCTGTCATAATATATACTTAGTCATATTTAATTTATGCTGACGCAGACAACAGAATTACTTATAACCACAGATTAATATCTTAGTTTATAAAATTCAGTGGTAAAATAATTCAAATTCTAACTGCTAAGAATTCCCTTTTTTAAAAATCATTAACACAATTTTACATCTTCAGGAGTGCTCACAGTTCCATTTCTAGCCTTTCTAAACATCGATAAGAAATGTTTTCTTATAGCTACTCACTAATTGAGAAGAAACTTCAAATAAATATGAGCAATTTTCATACCCTCATAATCTCTCTCAGTCTCCTCCTGGACTGTATAAATATCCAACAGCACTTATGCTTTATGGAAATTTGAAAGTTCTTCTGTCCAAAAGGCTGACTGGAAACCTGTGACATTCAGTTAAATTCTCTCTAGTAATTCAAACTCAGAGTATCTCTCCTGTGCAATAGCACTCAGCGTAAAGATTGTTCAAGACATGATTTCTGTGTCTTGTTCTTTTTTTCCCTGTTATGTTATTTCTAGTCAAAGCTACATGGCGTAAAAAGGCATGGTCATAAAAAGACAGCCTTTCTGGGTCTCAAATCCCGGTCAGACAGACGGCAATCATAATTTTCATTAATCCAACTCAGAGATGCTATGAGGCTTAAATAAGAAAACATATTTGAAAGTGCTTAGAAAAGTTTTAAGTACTTCCCAAAAGTATGGGATTATTATTAAACAATCCTCTTTGACAAGAAAAGAAGCTGTTCATTCTTCCAAAAAAGCTGAAATCATATGAGATTTTTAAAAAAATAATCAAAGCTAAAATTATACTAGATATTCTTTAAAAATATATTTATACTAAAGACTTCCCAATCCATGTAATCCATTGGCCTTGAGGTTGTGGTTAGGGAGTTCCCATCAATAGGTAGAAGGTCAGAGCAACAATCAGAAGCAAACAAAATGGAGATGAGAAGGTCTGATAGGCAGCTGATGGCATAAAAATATCTTCATACTTGTAAATACTGACAACACGCTCTGAAGCTGGCGGTGAATCTATATCATGTCGGGTGATAGAGCCTTTAACAAAAAGAGAAGGGGAGGGGCAATCAAAAAAAGCACAGATTTAAAATGATATAGGCAAACAACAGAAAAACTAAAGAAGTCTTCAGTGTTGTATACATAAGCAGTAATCATAAATATCTGGAATCAAGTATTCAAGTTATCATCAGAATTCATAATTGTATATACCCGAAGAATGGAAATTAGCTAAATTTATCCAAAAAGACTAGTTGTCATTAATCTGCACACTCCCTACCAGAACAGTGCTCTCTTGGTCTGGCCACTGGTATCTTAGACTTAAGACTGCTACTTAGATAATATTGTATGAATGCCTACTTTGAACATCTCTATTGTTTCATCTTATTAATACCAAGTGGAAAAATCTTACTTTGATTTCAAACAGCAGAGACTACTAATTTTTTCCCCTCAAATCTCTTTTACATATGGATAATCAACAATACTCTGACAACAATACTCAAGTCTCCCTTGCAGATGGAAGCCCTCTTTCACTGTCTTCATGACATAAAGAGGTAGCCTGCCCAGGCAAGACCAGAGTGGATGTAGTATGCTGGGTGTGTGTCTGTCTGGTGGAGTAGATTAGAATGGTACAGAGAGGAGATAATGAAGATGCCAAAAAAGTCTTTGTATGGGAAACTTTTTTTGGCCTAGTTACAAGCAAAGAACTATAGGCTGTATGTTAAAGATGATTAATGAAGTGAAGTTGATTGGAAATGCCTGGACTCTTGAATAATCCATATAAAACTTGGGTTAAGGAGACTAAGGCATACGCATTCAGTGCAGAGATCTTTGTATTAATAGCACACAGAGTGAGGGTTTTTAAGATACTCTCTGCTAGGGAAGCCCTGAACAACTTGACATATCAACTCCCTGCTCCAGTGTCCATGCTGGCTCCTGTTGGCACAAATAAAACTCCTCAGGTTGGCACAGAGACTTTTCTCTCAACAGGTCCTTTCATCTCCCCTACCTAACCTCAGCTCACGGTCACCTGCATAGTGACCACTCTAATGCTAGACTTAACCAATTACCTCCAGTTTACACCTTCCTTGAGGGAAATCTAATCTCATACACCCTTCGAGTTTTACTCAGTTTTCCCTAAGAGGTCTTAGAAGAATGGATAGAATTTGATCAATTCAGGAAACAAGAAACGCTTATGGCGTAGGAACATGCCTGTTTTGCTTGGAGATAGTGAGAAGAACAATAGAAGTCTTTTTTTTTTTTTGAGTCAGAGTCTCACTCCTTCGTCCAGGTTGGAGTTCAGTGGCATGCTATGGCCACCCCAGTGTTGACCTGCTGGGCTCTGGTGATCCTTCTGCCTCAGCCTTCCAAGTAGCCAGAACTACAGGCGTGCACTACCATGCCCAGCTGATTTTTTGATTTATTGTAGAGATGAGGTCTCACCAAGTTGCCCAGGCTGTTCTTGAACCCAGGCTCAGGCAATCACTTCACCTCAGCCTCCCAAAGTGCTGGGATTACAAGCTTGAGCCATGGCGCCCTGCCCTGGCTGATTTTTTAATTTACTGTAGAGACAAGGTCTTGCCAAGTTGCCCAGACTGGCCTCAAACCCCTGGACTCAGGCAATCCTCTTGCCTCCACCTCCCAAAGTGCTGGGATTACAAGCATGAGCCACCATGCCCGGCTATAATAGGAGCTTTAAAAGAGTTTCTCAGGTAAAGCAAGACCAGATCTGGAGAAGGCTTTGAACATTAGGCTAGTCTGCCATACGTGTAAGAAGATGGCCTTCTGAAAATATAGCACTTTCCAATTGGTAACATTGTGGCAGGATGCAACAAATGCTCAAATATATATTTTTTGTGTGTGTGTTGGAGTCTCACTCTGTTGCCCAGACTGGAGTGCAGTGGCCGCTTCCGACCACCGCAGCCTCGACCTGCTGGACTCCGGTGATCCTTCCACCTCAGCCTTCCAAGTAGCCGGAATTACAGACATGCGCTACCACGCCTGGCTGATTTTTAAATTTATTGTAGAGATGAGGTCTTGCTGCCCAGGCGGGTCTCGAACCCGCGGGCTCAGGCAATCCACTCACCTCAGCCTCCCAAAGGCGCGGGATTACAGGCTGAGCCACTGAGCCCGGCTTCAAATATATTTCTTATATAATTGAGTGAATAAACACAAAAACACATGTAGCTGATTCGGGATCAACAGTTGGCCTCACCTGGGCTGACTAAATATCTCTGACTAGCACAGTGGCAGGAAGGGGGTGGTAGCAGTTAAAGGTATTTCCTTTTAAAAGGCAAATTCAACTTTAAAGACCCACCAGGCGCCAGAGGCACCAGGCAGGTTTTGTTTAAAAAAGTGCAAATAGCCGGGCTTGGTGGCTTAGCCTGTAATCCTGTGCCTTTGGGAGGCTGAGGTGAGTGGACTGCCTGAGCCCAGGGGTTCGAGACCTGCCTGG